TTATAAAAAAATTAATAAATTAATACTCATACAAATTTAACATCTTATAATTATTTAATTAAAAAATGAAAGATAATATTTCTTGTAAAAATAAAAAACTATTTACATTATTAATATCGAAATATTAATATAAAAATATTAATATAAAATATTAATATAAAAATTTAATTATGAAATTTTTATATATAATTGCTGTTTCATGTCTTATTAAATACACACTCACTTGTAATAATGCTGGACCTATGACAGGAATTAGAAAACCTTGATATAAAAATTCAAGTAACTGTTTTTGTACCATCGGATGTGCTACTTGTGTAACTGCATTGCAGAATTCTAGAGAATTCATGAGTTGTGTAAGTGCAGGTAAGTCATTTACATCATCCGGTGTCAATTGATGCCAATCATCTGTTTCAATGTTAAGTTTCCTTGGAAGTAAAGAATAAAGACCACTCAATCCTGTAGCTAGTACCTAAGTAAATATAGAAAATATCGTTTTTTATTTTTGTGCACAAATTTGTAAACATATTTGATTTCAAAATAACAATATTGTATTATTTACAGGACATATATTGGAACGATCAGCAATGTATAATCCAATTTCGTCATTTTTTTTTGAAAGTGACATACACAATAACATAGCATCACGCGCTTGCTGACCAACACCTCCTTCTCGATGAATATGAGGTATTAATAGATTAAATATAATAAATCTGAAATAATTAATAATTTTTAATGATTATATATTCATATAAAGTATCATTTATCATAAAATAAGATATTAAAAAATAAGATATTACTTATTTTTTCCGGATGCAGTTGGATGAAAGAACAAATCAAGTAACGCCATATTTTGCATTAAAGCAACACATAACTGATTCAATAGTACTACTAATTTTTTTTCTATTTCTAATGGCATAATATCGTTTGAACATTCTTCTAACAATCGTAGAAGTGGCCTCGTAACTGTTTCATGTGCAAGAAGAGTACCACTATGTGAAACTAATAATTCATAAAGCTTTATTTGTTCCAATCTTACTGCATTATTAAATCTGTAAAAAATTTTTACGTATAATATATGTATAATATAATAACTTTTATATACAGAAAAATAGATATACATATAAATATGAATATATAGATCTAATGAAATAAATATATTCAAATATGTTTAAAAAATAAAATCTTAAATATTAAATTAATAAGAATAG